TTTTAAATGTGAAAAGGAAATCTTTAGAAGTAGAAGGGGTTTTAAGTGCTTTTTAAAATTGAGATTTTGCATTTTCTAAAATGTGTGCCATTGGTAAAGATATTTCAGGGATTATGTTGTATTATAATGTTTTGGTAGCATATAATACATAAAATGTCTTAGCAGTTATATTAAAAGATAAAATTATCAATTTTCATTCTGTTGATAGCAATTGGTAGTTGTGGACTGTATATTAATTCATAAAAGTCAAGTTGAGAAACTTAACAACATTATTTTTTTCAAGAAAATTAATGCCGTTTAAAGGGCAAAGAGTGCGTAAGGAAAATAAAAAATTGAATGCGCTTGTTCGGGCAGAGGAACGGAGACTCGATGTTGACGGGCATCCTAGCGCTATGATAGTACTGGGCTTCGCCCATAAAATTAGTGGCACTGTAAAAACATTAAGCCAGACAAAGAGATAAATATTCTAACCGAGGACGGAAACATAAGCAAAAAAAATAATGTGGGCTGAAAAGGCAAAGGAGGTGGACGGATTTAATACAAAACAATGGAAGGCCTGTTCGGGCAAAAAACAGGAGGAAAAAAAAATGGGGGGGGGGGGGACGAGTGATCCCTATCGCTTACTGAGAAGTACTGGGCTCGCGCCTAAATTGCGTGGCGCTGCAAACATAAGCCAGAACAAATGACATAAATATTTAACCGCGCCGGGACCACTTCAACAACAAGATAAATTTTGCTATATAGAATGGAAGCTCAGAATTAAGGAATATCCTAAAATTCCAAAAATAATGTTTCTTTTTAATTCCAAATTTTTCCAGGTGTATACTGTTTTCAATACTAAATTATATACTCATTGCCATAAAAATTTGTGCATCAAGAAAGAGTTGTCAGAATGAAACGAATTTTTTTTTTTTTTTTTTTTTTTTACATGTGAGTGAAACATTGATATAAGTAAGTGATTACAAAATCAAAGCTAAGGATCATATATTCCAGAAAAAGCTGCAAATGATTGAAGGTTCTAATACCCTGTTAGACCACCTCTGGTATACATACACGATGCAATACAATGGGCAATGAGGCATACAGATTATGCATAATCTCATTCCACAGGTGTTGTAATTTTACACTTTTAGTTTGAACCCAATTCCTAAGCTATCCAACTTGGCAACACAAGTGATCACAGACATGCTCGATCTAAAATAAATCTGGGAATCGGACAGGCTAGAGAAATGTAGTAATGTGGATGACACATTCTTGTGACACCCTTGCTGTGTATGGTCAAGCATTGTACTTTTGAAAAATGCATGCCATAAGAATGACAGGTCACAAATGTACCACTAGTAACATTAATCTATACTAAAAGATTAATGGTACTATAAAACTAGATGTCTGATGTGACAATATTCCATGTCATCACACCAACTGTGGGAACAATGTGCTGCTGTAAAACAGAGGCAAGATTGAGGCTTTTACCTCAAGTCTTTGTATACATACACAATTGTTGTCACTACCCAATTGAATCTCAATTCATCATCAACTGGGTTCCATTTCATTGTGATACAATCCTGCTGAGTGCAACAACACTTGGGTGAAGGTGACAAGTTCATTGGCAGTACATGTACCAAATGTCCTTGAGCCTGGCACCTCGGAGTGGTATTGGCATACACCCCACACAGTAAAGTAAGAGTGGCATAGATGTCAGGCTGCCGAGCTTGCTACTGGGCCTCCATGGTTCCCAATGATGAGCTCCCCATGATTTTTCCCTGATCAAAATCTGACAGCTGATCATATTGTTTTTAATTTCATCCCTAGTGTGAAAACAACCTCCACCTACAAAAGGTTAAGTGTTGTTAAAATGCCCTGCCCGCGTTTTTAATGTGCTAGAGAGAACAAAGTTAAGTGCCTTTTGGTGGCATGCAATGCACAATCACATTGTATTTCTAATCATTTGCATACATATACATTCTAATCATTTGCATCATATTGCTGACATATACTTTCATGTCATGTTTCGGTGTGATTTAACAATACTTTTTGCTGGGCAAAATTTTTATCTGTATTTAAAGACAAAAGCTAAATTTTAATAGAGGAATTAAACATATAAATTAAAATCAGGTTACATCAAGGAAGCTAACCATAGGAGGTCCCAAGATTAACACCAGTGTGGATAGAATAAATCTCATCATCAAATCATGAAATTTCATGTAAATCAGAAATGTTCATCTAAATCAGAAATCTCTAATCTTTTTCTTGCATCGACTCCATTTTAAAGGATAGTTTTCTTCATTGACCCCTCGTTACGTTTTTCTTTATATCAAGTTTCACAAATGGAAAAAGGGTTTTGAAAACAAAATTACAGATTCTAATTGCTTGGGTCATTTTATGAACTGATGCATTTTTTAAAAATACTTATCATAAAACTGCTTAATTCAGTTCTTAAATTCCTCATTCAAAATTATCCAGCCTGTTTCTTGTTTTCTGTGCTAAATTATTAACTTGACTAAAGGTTGCTTAAACTAACTTGACTAAAGGTTGCTTATTAAGTAAGAAGAGACAAAAGTTAATAATGTTAGTTTTGTAACAATTTAGGCTATTTTTCTTGTGTAACTTTTAAATTCCTGAACAGCATACCCATGTGTTTTAAAAAAGACGTCACTTTGTATGATATAGTTCTATATCAATAAACAATTATTTATCAGTTTTATTATTATTATTATTATTATTATTTTGTAGTTAGTATGATCTTTATAATGCTGATCAATTACCTATGCGTATACAGCTATTGAGCTGTTGGTCATCTTTGACCCTGTTTAAAATTTCATTCACTTCCAAGTAATGAATACTACCCCGCTGGGACCCTCTGAACTGAATTTTATCCAAGAAAAATGATTTTAATGATATATAGCAGGGTTGGCCAACCTTCATATCAGTAAAAGCCGCACGTTTGAATTCAGGAACATTCAAGAGGCGCATCTAGAATTTCTAAAAGCCACAAGTTCATATTTACATCAATTATAGAAGTAGTGGAGGAGATTTTAAATAGAAAGAAATCCCTGATAACTTTGTAAAAAGAGTCTAAACTAATCAATTACTTCCTTTTGGACACTGAATAGTTTTAGTTTAAGATATTTCATACATATATTTTATATGCATGAGCCGCACAAACTGCCCGCGAGAGCCGTACTTTGGCCACCCCTGATATATAATTTGCTGGCTAATTAAATTTTAAACATAGATTAGATTTGACATCATATAATGTAATTTTTGCTTTCTGTAGGGTGTTCTTAATAAAAAACAAGATTTAAGCTGTTACATTTTCATTCAGTTTGGCAGCATTGTAACTTAAGCATCTGTTCTGTAGATGTTTTGAGATTAATCGCCATGGGAAGTTGTAGAAAGGATCAAAGCATTAGTATTGTGAAATGTTATAGTGGCAAGAAAAGTTATGCAGACACTATTTTCTGATAGTTAAAAGAATCGGGACGGAAGAGAACCACACCTCAAATAAATTATAAAAGAGAAGCAACAACCTGTGTTGGGCATAGATTTTTAGCATAGAGACTCTATCAATTTCAAGGGGGAACAAAGTCCCTTTTCATTGGGAGCAACGAAAACCTGCAACTGAAAAATCAAGTTACGAACATATTTATATCCTAAGGAAGTTGAGAGAGTAGTGCCATCTGTTAGTAGAAATAAAATGAAAATTGAAAAATTAAGATAAACTTTTATGAGTTAAAACAATGTCTAAGAAATTAAGAATTGGGAAGTTAAGTTTGGTCATGGTCATTTAATAACTCATGTATACTAATAAGTCTCTGAATCTATTTCATATTTTGTAAAGTATTTATGAGTTTTTGATTAAGAAACTCAGCAATTTCAAAGCGAGCAATGGCAACACTGTACGGGAGGGGGACATTTTTTATCTCCAGCACACAAAACTAAGAGAAATTCTAAAGATATTCTCTTTTAAATATTTTGTGATATTGCTGTTGAATTGAATTATGGTTTAAGTGCAAAGAGCATGATATTTAATAATAAAGGTAACACACAAAATGTTTAAAAAAAAAGTCCCTTTGGGCATAATGTAAAATCTGAAAGCTTTCAGATTTTTTTTAAATTTCATTTATTTATTTTTCATTTTTATTTATTTATTTATTTTTTCTTCTGTATTTGACTTTAAAAGGAAATTTTAATTTTGTTTAAAAATTGATTGTAATCATTGTGCAGATTAGCATGAGAAGTCTCTTGTTAGCATGATATTTGAAGTTACAAAACCCATGTGTGCTATACTGCCCTTCTGGTTACTTTTGAGTAACCTTACATAGTAATAAAAAATTGATTAAACTCTTAGTTATTTATTTATAGTATATAATACAGTCAAAAGTCTTTAATCTGGACATCCATGAGTCCAAACGTCGCGGCGCGAAGTGAACTGGAAGTTGATCTGTCAGCACTATCCTTATCTTCAGGGCAGATGTTTTTATTTTATTCGCCTTATAATTCCTTACTAAATGTAGTATTTCGTCTTTGATATGATTTAAGTCAAATTCCTCATCATTATAAGTATCACGAATACACATCAAATAGTTTTCTGGTTGCAATTTTCTAATTTCGACTATGCGTAATGTATGTTTTACGCATGCGTGCATTGAAAGAAATGTTTAATAAAGTAAACAGATAAATATTAAGCTTTTTTTTTTTTTTTAAATTTTGATACCCTGTAGATCATAATTTAATCCCTGTAGATACCCTGTAGATAATCTTTATTTCATAAATTACGGTTTCATATTTTAAATTTAATAATTTCTGCATGCCATCTTACCAGATTTAAATTGATGATCTATAATCTGGAAAAACTGATAATCCAGAGACACCAAAGTCCTGATAAGTCCGGATTAAAGACTTTTGACTGTATACTGTGAATATATGTATATAATTATGTTTTTGTAGTTTTAATCATTTTTGTGTGCTAAATTGCTGTTACTTGTTCCTTTAGCTGCTGATGGAAAAAGGAAACGGAAGCATAGTGGCAGTGACGAAGATGGCCCAGGTAATTTTATTTAGAAAACATGATATTCTGAAATATTGTAGTATTTCCTTATTTTATAAATTTCATAAGCACTTAAGCATGATATCTATAATGTTTCTTATATTCTGTTGCAAATGTTTTAATTTCAGAGGACATTTTATTTGCATACTTTTTTTTTAACAAAAAATTTATGGATTCTAATTTCTTTTAGATGTGAAAAGGCTTAATCTAGATTGCTGAATGCAGATTAGAGCATTAATGTAGTTGCAGTTTTGTTTCCTTGTTTGTATGCAAATTGAAGAATTTCAGATCTCATATCCGTTTTAGACATATATTAAAAACAAAAAAAGAAATTGCAAAGGTTCTTTTAGAATATATTGTGAATATAGAATTTAGAATATATGATGAATTATTGATAGTTTATATATATATATATGTGATGTTCCAGCTTTTGTCCGGAATAAATAGATTGGTGAAGAATCATAGATGTAGTTGTAGCTCAAAAGTATCAGACGATAAGTTTAAAAAACAGGATCCATTTATTATTATTCAGGAGAAATAGCAATTACAAAAATCTGATCTTCAGAGTAAATAAAAATGAATTACTAATAACTTTTTGTATGAAGTTTTCTGCGTCGTTACATTAAAGAAAAGACCCCGATATTCCTTTGCGAGTTTTTTTATAGCCTCTGGAAAGGCGGAGCTTCCAAGAAATGTCATCAGCCTTTCCAGTTCGCTTTAAATATCTCCAGAACATTCTATAACTGTACGTGTAGAAAAGGCAGGAAAAACAAACTTGACTATGGGGCTGTGGATTTAATTCCACGTACTTTCAAATAAGAGACCGTCGCCATTAAAAATGAAAAGAACGTACAGTTAGAATTTTAAGTGTATTCTTGACTATGGAATTTTATTATTACATACATATATATATATATATATATATATATATATATGAGATTGAAGTAAATGTATTAATTAATCATAATAATTGTCACTTGCACAAAAACTGCAAAGTAATAAAATAATAATTTATTTACTACAGTACAAAGTCCGCAATTCGGACGTTCATTATCTGTAATGATCTAAAATCCGGACCTCAAAACCACCAACAACATTTTTCTGGTAGGCTTTATGCATGTGCATTTGATTCCCCCATCTGCACATAATAAAACATCTGGAGAGTCCCAATTCTTAATTTCACTTTGACACTAAATAAAATACCTTGTTATTGAAGAAGCAATCATTTTAGCATAAACCTGTATGATCAATAATTTGGTTCCATTGCTGCGTATCTCAAACCGAAACATTCCACATAGACACATTATTCATCTGACGCCAATCTGGCAAATAATTATTTATTAACTTGTCGTTAGTCGCCAAGCTCATGTTGCATAGCCAAATATGCTTAGTAAAGGATAGCTAAATTTGATGATGATAGCCTCTAATTTTAAAGGTTTTCAGATATCGCGAAACAAAGGTAAAGTTTTCCAATTAACGGATTTTGTAAAAAAATGTGGAGAATCAGTGATATATGAAAATGGTATATACCAGAAAATACTGCTACTGGATAGTGAACAAAGTGACACAGAAGTTACTGAAAACGAAAAAATTTTGATTGACAAGTTAATCAGAAGTCTCGAAACAGCAGTTACAGGACTTTTAACAATGTACCTGAACAAGGGATTATGTCTGTCTACAGAATTAAAGAGGAAGTATTAGTACAACACAAAAAAAAAAAAAAAAAAAAAAAAAAAAAAAAAAAGCGAAGCAACTTAAACAACAGAACATTGAAAGAAATGTTTAATAAGGTAAATAAATAAAGTATTAAGCTTCTTCTTCTTCTATTTTTTTTTTTTTGTAAATTTTGATACCCTTTACATCATAAAACTTCATTATTTCATAAATCACGATTTCATATTTTATAATTTCTACATGCCATCTTATTAGATTTAAACTCATGATCTAATATCCAGAAAAATCCCAAATCCGGAATCGCCGAAGTCCCGACGAGTCCGGATTTCGGACTTTGTACTGTGATAGAATATTGAGTGTATTGAGAAAATTAGTAGAATTTTAGTTGAATGAAGTAACTTATAAGCATTTAATGGAATCTTGAAATTTTTTTAATGAAAACATCAAGTATGAATCATGCAAAAATTTAAAATAGAAATTTAAAAAAAAAAAAATGACAAGCAATCAACAAACCAAGTAATTATCATCATTGATTGGAAGTTGATTGACTTTTCAAGGGGAATAAACCAACCCCTGATCAGTTAACAATAATTAATACATGCAAAGGTGTTTTGTCATTTATTCAAGTAAAAGTTGTGAGGCCAAACTGGTATTAGGTAAGTTAATTTTAAGCCAAGTGAGAACTTATTGTGTTATTTTGATAATTTAGCCATTTTTGACAGGGAGTTCTGCATTTTGAACGTACTAAATTTTTTTAAATTTTTAGTGATATAAATTAATGTATATATCTCATTAATCATTTAATCATTTCTCTCCTTTAGCAGCTATTAATTCAAGTGTGATTTTAGGAGCAATAAAATAGTTAATTTTATTATTAAATTTTAAGGGAGAGAGGTTCAAATACAGGAAATATAATGTGGCAAAAAATATATTGGAACCTGAAAATTTTATTTGACATCTTAGTTTTTTTTTTTTGGGGGGGGGGTATAAATAAGTTTTCTGCAGAAACAAATTTCAGAAATAAGATTTCTGTAGAAAAAGTTTAAATTTTTTGTTCTATGTATTACTAATATTCTTGTATTTAATATTTTTTTTAATCAGTTAATTCTTTTTATGAAATGTTGAATTTATTTTTTGGTCTAATCAATCAAGGCTTAGTTTATAGAGATATAATAAATGTATGGAATTTTTCAAAGGTGTAAGCTTTTGTGGTTTGAACTCTTGTGTATTAATTGATTGTATACTGTTTGTCACATGTTTTTGACTATGCCTTTCTGCTTATTACTGTAATGCAGAAATTATCATCTGATTATAGGGGTGATAAGCAAACTGAATTTAAATATGGTAATGAAATCTAACTTAATTTGAAAACTATTGGTTACTGTTTTTTCTAGGTGTAATTTTTTTGGGGTGGCGGGGTCTCAATTTATGTAATATATGAGTAATGTAATGCATATATAAAAGTTGTAGCTGTATAAATGAAATTGTGTAAATTAGCAAATTTTCCTGAAACAGTGGTATTGGCTATTTTTTTGCTTGGCAAAAGTTGAAGAAGGTTGGTTAGCAAAAACAGGCATAAAAAATAATATGGCACAGCCTCTCCATGTGCCCAAAATGCTGTGGCTACTCAAAATAGCTTTAAGGAAGTAAGATCTTAACAAGTATATATCAAGAACATATTTCTATGTCTATTTGCAGTACAGTACAGCTTGCTGAATATCATTGCAAGGCGTTTATTTAGATCTGCATGTCTCAGTACTCAATACGTAAATCTGGAAATTGTAAGGCTCGTCAAATATCTGGAAGTCCAGTATTGCATTCATAAAGCTAATTCTGTATGGCCTTTGCCTGATAAGGAGAGACTTGTGTTAAGCTACTGGTACAAATCATGATTGCAGGAGAACACAGCTTGCTTAAAGATGCATAAATAGTGTGCAGTACATATTTTCTATTGAGAAATATTTCTATGTATCTGGATGAAAAAAGGACTTGATGCTGAATCATGACAACTTGCTTGCAGGGCAGTTTGCTGAAGGAGAAATCCATAGATTTATGTCTTCCTTATATTCATATGTCCATGTAAAAGGGTTGCTATTGATATTTCTTGCCTAATAATGAAAAAAAAAATGTTTATGATCGAAATTGGTTTTATTGTTTTTCAAAGTATTTTACATGAAGATCAATACACTTTTGCATGCGTTTGAACCAATTTTAGAAGCACATTTTCCACTCCATTTCAGGTAACTCCAAAATATGCATTTTGAATGCATCACCCGCTTCTTCGGGTGTCACAGATCGCTAACCACGTAATTTATTTTTGATGTGCCAAGATAAAAAAAAGTCATTGAGTGCCAAATCGGGCCAGTACAGCAGATGAACCGTCAAGTCACTGTTTTGGCCTGTCAAAAATTCCTTTGTTTGAGCCAAAATGTAAGAACTTGCATAGTCATGATGAAGAATGATTCGCATCTTCTGCTTTTTTTTAAATTTCTGCAATGACTTCCGGCAAACAAATAGTCGTGTACCATTCGGAATTGACCATCCTGCATTGCTCTAACGCCACTGTCGCCACGTGACAGGTAATGAAGAAAAAACAGGCAACCATATGCTTCAATGTACTTCTTCCATAAGCAACTTTGTTGGATTTGGCTCTTCTTGAAAGACCCATACAGTCGACTGCTGTTTTGTTTCAGGCTCATATGCATAGATACATGTTTCATCACTTGTGTAGATGTTATACGCACCTTGAATGTATTTTTATAACATTTCCTTGCACCAGTCAATATGAGCCTTCTTTTGAGCATCTGTCAGATTATGCTGAATCCAACACTATCAAATCTTTTTTATGGCCAAATGTTCTTGTAATATCTTATTGATGCTTGTCATATTAATGCCCAAAGCTGCCTCACTCTCATGGTATGTTTGTTGCATGACGATCTTGCTTTATCAGTTCTGGCATAACCGATTTTGGACGACTTTCATGGAATTCATCCTCGAGCAAACATCGACCACAATAGAATTCATTATGCCAGTTTTTTATAGTGATGTAGGATGGTACTTTATCACTATATAAAGGATTAAGTGCATCGAAGCACTTGATAATCCACGTCGAAAGTTATGAAAAGTAATCACATGAAAATGTTCCCGGGTCAGTTTAATTTTTTGCCTGAGAATTTTTCAGTTTACTGTAACAATACACATCAAGCTAAAATGACAAAATGTTCTGAAGAAGTTATGGTTAGAAATATCAAACTTTTGAAGGGAATCATCCGTGGTCATCTAGCAACACTTATTGTTGCCAAGGCCACAAATATAAATAGAAACCTTCATATTCAAATCAGCAAAAAAATTGAAATCTCTGACTAAATCACATAACATTAGTCATATGTATTCAAACAGTGATATCATCTGAGCCAGATGAAATACGTTATCTGATATCTAGATAACAAATGATAGCTGGAATAATTGTTGCAAAAAAATAATATGACCTGTTACATTATCCATTTAATTGAAATTCATATTCGTTTGCTTTGATGCTGTTTGATGGTAGCCATCATGTAATGTAGGTCATAATTACACCACCCCTGGGTCATTGTCTACGAAGTTGCTAAGTGATTTTGCAGATTAAAGCAGATCTGTGAGAAAAATACAGCCTTCACTACTGATAATTGTATTTGTTGCCTGGTATGAGTATTGGTTTGTCAACAAGCTACTCCACAGTCCTCTTGCTGCATTTGTAAAGTGATACTAGATGATCATCACAATTGAACCCATGTTATGACATGATTATGAGACCTGTACACTAAGGTACTTGATTGGCTTTTTTCCCAATGCTTGGATGTATTTAGGTGGTGTTTTTTTTTTTTTTTTTTTTTTTTTTTTTTTTTTTTGTTATCACATTATAAAAAAGATATGCGATATGATATTGGCTATTATTTTCCCCAGCTGTGGAGGTGCTTGTGTATGTGTCTTGGTTTTCAGTGTGGGGGATGTAATGTTTTCTCACTTTGCTGCCTTTGCCGTTTCTTAGCAAAATTAATAGGTGCTGTGCTACTGTTGTTTTGGTGTCCTTGAAAGTAGTAAATGATCTTAAGGACTGAAACAAGTCTTAACTAAATATTACAAGTCTTAGAAACTAAATATTATACCACCACAACAAAAGTGCACTTTAGTTGTCACTACCAATTTTGGGATTTGTTTCTTGGTTTGGGTGCTAATTGTTCACTTGTACGCTAAACAAGTGTATGACAATTACAACATTAAAGCCTCACTAGAATTCACTAAAATATTCTCTGAGATTGTATTTATCTGCATACTATTATTAATAATTTAGTGGCAGTTTATTAGTTACATCCATCTTAATTATTTTTTAGAATGTATTTAAAATAAATAAATATTTAATACTTTTTATTTATAGCTTTTCTTTCATCAAAATATGCTGAACCGCCTGCTTCCAAAATCTATAATAGCCGTTTCCTCACCAATACGCCTGCTGAAGTGAGTTATGATTTTATTAAATAAATTAAATATTGTATGTTATTTTAAAGACATTTTAAATGCTGTTATTATGTCTCATTGGCTTAGTAGTACAGTAAAATTCCAGAAATTGCAAAGCTTGGGACCAGAGGTTGTGCGGATTTTAGAATTTTGCGGATTTCAGAACAGAAAAAGATAAAGCATAATATTCAGACTAAAAGTGCAAAATGAATAAGGCGTATTAGATACATTTAATTAAATTATTATATACATTATTGCAATAATTTATTATATGCATTAAATTATTATTACATATGTAAATTGATTATATTATTCATTGTGTTATATGTACACAGCATCGAGGTTTGCCGATTTCGCCTCATGCAAAGATTTCCGGTTTCGGATTCCGGTGTTAGAATCACTGTTGTTGTAAAATTTCAACAGCTTTTCTTTATTTTTCCATATATCATACACAATCGTGTCGCAATTCGATACCATTCTGCTATAAATCGAGGAGTAGCACCTGCTTCCATCTTTTGCAGAATTTGCACATTTTGCGTTACAGTCAATGCAGCGTGTTTACATTTTTCAACGTTGCAAGCAGTAAAATCACGAGTGCATTTCTTATCTATCATTGTGTTAAAAAGAGCTGAAATTAAAAATATTCGTAATTTATCCACAAAATATCCGGATAAAAAAAAAAGGCAGCACTAAATCTCGTGAAATGAAATAACAAAGCTCAGAAAATACAACAGCGTGAATCGTGAACTTGAACAAAGAGTTGAGTGAATCATCTGCTCTTTACCTCGATGCAGATTAGACGGAAAAAAACTTATCTTATTTTTTTAAACTTTTTTATATCAATAATTTGGTATTTCCATTTTGACTCATTATTATTCGGTAATTATGACGTCATTTATTCGGTAAGTATTTTTTCTTCGATATTTTGTACTCAATGTTGCGGTTTCTGGAACCTATAAACTGAATGTTTACATTCTGAGAGGCAACGTGGATTTCAGGTCGGCGGATTTTCTTTATTTGACTGTAGTAATAAAATGGTGCATAAAGCATCCATTTTATTATGACTACTTTATGTGTTAATAGAAGTTTCATTTTGTGCACTTTTTCCCATCTATTTGAGAAAAGCTTAAAAATTTTTTCTTTCTTATGTATTTAAAGATAGCTAATAAAAAGCTTGTTTTCAAAAAGCGCATTTAAAGTTGCATTTGTGAATATATATATATGCATATATGTCTATGTGTGTGTGTGTATATATATAATAAAGCCAAAATGAATACTAAGGCCTATCTGAAAAAAGTAAAAATGGTTGTTTTCCATTTTGTAAGGTATTGAAAAGTTTATTTATTTCTGTTAATGCTATGATCTGAGCAGAAGAGCTTTTTGGATTCATTGATGAAGAGCTGTGTGCATGATTTTTTAAACTTAAATGTTAAATGTACATAAATACTTGCTTTACTTTTTGTTTTCATAAACTTTTATGTCACCCAATAGGATAGTGGTTAGTGACTCTGACTACTGTACCAAAGGGCCAAAGTTCGATTCCCAAAGAAGTTATGGATGTAGTAAATGTTAAATGTCTTTGTGGCACAGGGGCACTTGAAATATATGATGAGCTGTGAAAGTCCTCTCATGTGTTTTAGTGGTAGGGAAAGAGGGCAGGAGACCCTTGGATCACCTCCTGAGGTCTTTCAAAATTGGGAGGAAACTGGACAAAGTCATATTGTCACCTATATAAAGCACAAAACTCTTGCCAGCAATGGACACAATCTTTACTCCTTGCCACGATAAAGTTCTTGGGTTGTTGTTCTAATTCAGACAAATGAGATTAGCCACAGCATAATAGCATAGCCTTTTATTTATCAAAATGGAATAAAAAATAGAAAATAAAAAAATATTTAAAATAAAGTAATATTCATGAAATGACAGTGAACCTTATGACTGGATAAAAATGGTCATACTTGTCAGAAGGTTAATCTAATGCTGGAAATAAAAACTTCACCGACTTACAAATTGTAATAATGTACTTTTGTTTTTTTACTTTTACACTGCAGAAGAGGCCTGCTGACCCTACAGCTATAAAATTTGCCTCATGGCATTATTGTCCTTCTTGCAGAAGTGATCTAATGCTGCTGTGCCTCCTCTGCAGGAGGGCTGGCAGAACAGACTGCTATAAACACATGATTAAAAAGAAATTTGCAAGGCTATTTACAGTGATGCGCAAGTCCTTACTGGCTATACATCTTGTTCTAAACACCAACTAATTGAGATCACTGATGATCCTGTGTTCAAATAGAGATTACTGGTTGCAAGTTTAGGACTTGACAAGCACAGTTACAGTATTACAATCTAAGATACATGAGACTGCATTACAGATATATGACTTCACATTTAGAATACTTATCATATATTGTACCACTTTCAGGCTAACTTCACAAAACACTATTGAACAATGCATTGAAGCTGCTATTAATAGTACTTACTCTATTGCATGAAGCAAGTATGATAATAGAATTGAACAAAGTAATAATTATAGTACAATTGAATCGAAGACTGAATTTCGTTGTAACAGTGAACAGCAAAACGAAACAAGGGTTATACATAGATGCAGAGTGTATATAAATGTAATTACAATTGAGCAAACAACTTTGCTTTGAAAAGTACAACTTTGCTTTGCAGAGTGTCATTACACAGTCTTACAAATCATAGACTTATGATGTTCTGAGAAAAAGGTGTGCCTAGCTACTTGATTAATTTCTGATCGAGCAAAATGCCAAGTGTTAGGTTGCCCTGTTGTGCCCACTTACGGCTGAGTTTTTGTTGCACAGTACATAATAAGTTTTCTCAGCTTTACTCTGGCTATATTGTTCTTAATCAAATTTTCTGGCCATTGGGGTCAAAGTTGTTGACTTTGTTTCTTTTCACGAAGATGAGCAGTGTCAGGGCAAGAGAAGAGATAGTGATCTGGGTCACCCACTTCTCCACAGCCACACGTATCTGTTTTGCTTAGGTCGAATTGATGTAGATAAGCTTCAAAAGGGTCATGGCCTGTGAAAAAGTGGGTTAATTCACCAATATTGACTAAAAGTGGTTCCCTCACTTTCGGAAAAAAATTCATTTGTTCGTCTGCCTGTTGTTGCTGTTTCCCACCTCTGTTGCCACTGTGCAATGATCTGTTGATGTGTGACTCTTTTAAGTTGGAAGATGGGAAGTTTCACTAAATGTTCAAATAAAGCCATATCATTTGCTGCCGACTTCGCTGCCCTGTCTGCTTCCATATTGCCTTGGATCTCAACATGTGCCGGGACCCAATGAGGAATGGGACGGATTGCTTGTGGCTGCTGAAAGAGCAGACAGCGAATTTCCTGTACTTGTGGACTTTCATGGCTTCCAGGCAGGAGTTTTCACTAAAAGTGGCTATTTTACTGTCTAAATTATTTCTCACATATACTAAAGCTACCTTTAGTGTGGCTAATTCAGCTTCATACACTGAGGTGAATTCTTTCAGTCGCTTTCTCCACTCATGAAAGATCAGTCCTTTATAGCACAGAAAGGCACTTCCTGTACCTTTTACAGTCTTGGATCCGTACAGTGAGAGTGCCATCCTACGTGGAGCCAAGTAAATGATAAAGATCATTTCATTTCATTTGCGGTTTTTGCAGCTGAAGATGATGGTTCGGTAAAACCATCGAAACTAGTCCTGTGAAAATTGTGTAAATTAACGCTGATTTTTGTTGTTTGACTTCTGAATTAGTATTTATTCGGCGTGTTATTGTGTCTTAATTAAATGATAAAGATGTCAGCATTCAGATCAATGTCCACAGGGTGATCTAATAACTTCAGCCTGTGTTTTTATAATCCCTACCTAGCAAAGTGTACCATCCTCTTCAAGGAGGTGCACTCTTGAAATTAATGACTCTCTTACTGCAGTTAGGTCTAGTGGCAAGAGTCCTGCAAGAACCTGGAGTGCCATGGTTGCCATAGTTCTATATTTCTTGTAGATAAATGGCAGCTGCATTCTCTGCATGTTTAGACAGGGTTCGTAGCGGTCCTTGCAAGTGCTGATAAGTCCTTATATTTGAAAATAAAGTATAAAAACCCTTATAGGTGCTTATTTTTTCTCTAAAGCACTTACTTTTTGTTTTTAGTGCTTATTTTTTGCTTTTAGTGGTTTTTTTTTTTTTTTTTTTTTTTTTTTTTTTTTTAACAAACGTACATTTTTTCTCCATACCAAAGCTGAAACTAAATAAACAACTTTTCTTACTTATATGGAACGTCAGATGGTGAATCATAATCCCAGAAATAGCTTTCCGCCCCTTTCCCTGCATTAACATAAAGTGCATGTCGCTCTATTGGTCAAAGAATTGCGAAAGAGATAGAAAATTCTGGTACATTCCGTATTCTTTTGCTCCCACCCAATACTACACACGTTTGAATTTCTATCAAGATTTTAATAATTTACATTCTCGTTCTGTGTGGTGAGTTCATGTTCGTGTTTATTATGATCGGTATGCTTATATCTTTATATATATAAGCAGCTAAAGTGTGTGTCGCTGATAGTTTATTGTTGCCACTAGGAATAATGAGCTCAGAAATTAACGTTTCTGCAGTTTTTAATTAATGTCTTGGCTGATTAAAGTCGCACAAAGATGAAAACGCTATCGATGGATTCGGAGAATTTTTTGGAATCCGAGGATACGCATTTGAGATTTCAACTCGGCGTCATTCCTTAGATACTCGAGAAAAAAGAATTTGGCACGTAGCCAAATCTCTGTAATAGGGAAAACCCAAGAAAGAAAGTGGAAAATGTAGGAGAAAATTAGTTTTTAATTAATATCTCGGCTAATTAAAGTTCCAAGAAGACACGAATGGTCAAAATGGCGTGCCACAGACCTGCGGAATCCAACGGTGTACTTCTCTAAGCCCAGAAGCCAGCCGTTTCGGAGGAAATGATGTTACTTCACCCCGTATATATATATGCGGCTTAAGTGTCTGTTTGTCGC